CACGCCACATGGAAACTCAACAACAGCACTTCTGCCATATATAGTCATATTTTTCTGTTCACCACATTGGAGCCATCATCGGCATCCATTTAATGTTTGTCAAATTGACCAGAAGCCACAGTGACAGGAAGGATCTCTGCTGCAAAGCGCTATGTGATCGGGAATCAACATTATGGTCTGAATGTTTTGTTTCGGATGGAAATGCACCATCACGTTGTCTGCGTGGTCCCGCTGTGCGTGCCATCCTATTGGCAGGATTCACTTTCCACGCAGATCGCTGACGCAAAGCATGTTTCAGTGTTGATGTGAGGCTGTGGCACGATGTGCACCATGCACAATGTACAATGCAACAACTCGTCCAAAAACAACAAAGAGGTCTCACAAACTGCGCAGCTCTACTCCCGAGTGGATGACATCTACGCAGAGACAATCACAGACCACAAATGTGCCAAATTCCAGAAATCTTTGCTTGATGGTGAGGAATGTGTTTCATTTTCAGTATGTCTCTCTTGTGTTCCCATTATGAGCTAATCCGGATGATGCCAGCATACACAGGGCCCCCGTAGGAAATGCTTTGAGTCAGGCAACCCAGCTCATCAAGGAAAACTGTCGGACAGTCGGTTCCTATTCTTTTCCTTCATTCTTCTTCTTTTCACACATCTGAGCCTCTTCCTGGATGTATCTTACATCACTGTGACCTGCTGACCTGTGCTTTGTCCTTAATGGCCAATCAACAGCCGCTTTTGATGAGTGAGGCAGAAAATAGGGCAGTGCATCAACAACAAAGAGTCCTCTGTGTTGGTCAATGTTAAGAGAAGAATTAGGGATACCAAATCCATAGCAGGCTGTTTTTATTTCAAAATGATGACTGGAACCATGGATATGTTGGAATGTAGAATTGATGTATAAGTGGAATAAAAGTTAAAAAGAGCAAAAATTCTTTAGGAAACTCATTGAGGCCTTGGAATCCATGTGAAGTCGGCTAATTTTGACATATATTCCTATTTAAGTGGACTTTTTGTTGAAACCAGGCAACTGGTCACTGGAAGGATGGAACTTGTCATAGTCAAGGTGTTAAAAAAATCACTTGCCTTTTTATTGTTTTATTTTAAACAATAAAAGATGAATCAAATAGACCATTACGGCAAGGCTGGGATGGTCAGTTTGGTAAAGTAAATCCGTTGGGCATCTTTCCTCGCCTTTAGACAATAATTCTGATGGCAAAAGAACCAAACGGGACAGGCAAAAAAAAAAAAAAATCACTTGCCAAAGTAAACAAATGTATTTATTTTCATCCTCTGAATGAGTGCCTAACTGTGATAGACACTGCCAACAAAAATCATCATAGGTCAGGTCAAAATGTAACATTTCACAAAAGCCTTTTTTTCACATAAAAGATTTCTCAGCCTCTGCTAAGCTAAATATTGAGATGATCATGCTCAACAATGAGGCTAAAAATTAAAATAATAGCCATTGGGCTAAAGCACTGCTTGTCAGTGCAGACATTCATCTGCAGCCATTCAAATGTTGAATGTCTGTATGAATTTTTCTATCAACAGTCAAATTGTTATGGGTATTCCTGCCTAAAACACCGAGGTATACTAATGGCCCAGCAGTGCATTTTCAAATTTAAACCAAACCCATTTTAAGCAGAAACTGATTCTTAACTCTAACTTCCTTCTAATTGTAACATTGGGCCTAACTGCCATTTATATCTCATGATGAAATTCCCTGAAAGTGATGAGACACTAGGAAGTATCCGTGTGTGATGATGAATTACAGACACATTACATTAATAAATAAATTTCCTAAGAACTTGCGGCAGGTGCTTGCACATGTCTTGCAGTAATCCTCACTATTGTTTCTAAACATCTTCTTAAAATAACATTATAACCAGATATATAATCATTTTAAATGCTGTCTTCTGTTGCATTTCTTTGAAAAGCTCCAGCCTCTTGGTTGATTTTAAAAGAAAAAACAATCTAAATTTAGAATCAGCAGATGCCTTTTGTTAATGTGAGACGGGCCAAGTATCACAGCCCTCCGCAGTTCATCAAACAAAACGTCGACTTAGATCGAGGGCCACTGATTTTATGGCTTCATCTTCCAGCTAAACGCTGAGTAATCCTAAGCCTGTGCACAGCTCATGCTTAGTTCCTCATCACAGACTTTGGTTTGAACCGGTCTGCGCTGGAATCAAGTTGACTGCCACTCCCTGCACTATAATCACTAATCTTGCACTGCTCTGTTTCGCTTCCCTCTTTCTCAGTCTTTATCTAAAACCCAAAGGCTGTGTTTACAGCATACTTACATTCAGCACTGAAGAGTGGGCCAAATCTTGTTGTGGCTGCCCAAACAAGGAGAACTGGTGCAGTAAGTCTTTCTTTTTGTTAGGCAAAATGATTTAGTTGACCTCATGTGGTCATGCAGCTTTACATTAATACAGATTCCCAAAGGCCAGAAACCATAACTGCTCTAAAGCTGAATCACCATCATATATATATAT